TGCTGTTTTCTCTGTCATGAAAGGAGAGAACGTGGACATGCAGTGCGGCTGGTGCCAACAGCCCAAGGCAGCTACGTGGCATCACTTGTGCTGGGAGTGCGGAGCTTTCGCGAGGGGCAGACCTCCTGAGCCTGCAGACTTCATGCAAGCACGCATGGCGTGGCCGATGGGGCGGGATGCAGAATATGACAGACAGGTGCTCCTGCACATGTTGAGTGTGCGAAGCCGCACGGCTGAGGCACGTCATAGCTCCGACAGTGGAAGATGAGCGTCTTTCTCATGCTCATCCTTGATCCGATGCTTCTGCACGGATGAAGTGGTCAGTTTTTCCGTATTCTTACTCGGATTTGCTTTGACAGGACATTGTGTCGTTTTATCTTCGTCGAGGAGATGAATGGCATCCCAATCATAGACCCACCTAAACGGTGTCAACACTTTTTTTTTCGGCTTCCGCTGTGCTGAAGCATGGAGCAGCTTTGGGCGAGACAGCCCGAAGGCAGGAGCGGCGAGTCCTTTGTGCGCATCCTGCGTACAAGCTTTTCCGCGTGTGAAGCAAGAGCCCAATCATTGCATTCTGTGCCCGTGCAAGCCCAAACAGGGGCGCCGGACTTCGAGAAGTCCCTGGTCGTTAGTCTAGGTGGCTTTCCGCAGGTCTCTTCAGCATTCTGGAGCCCATCGATCTTGAGCGAGCAACGCCTGATCAGGAGCCAGCAATTACTTTGTTTGCACTCGTAGGGCAAAAGTTCAGAAAATGTCATTGATCTTGAGTGACAAAGATGGCTGCTGATGATGATTTCGATGACCTGGAGGCTCCAGCCGGCCTCGTGGATAGAAAGCAGAAGCTCCCTTAGCAGGTCAACGCCTTTTGCATCGTGGCTTGTGCTCGAGCAAACTAGGACACAGGTGCAATGGCTCGTCCGGTCAGCGCCAGGATTGCAGTCCTACCTAGTTTCTCCGAATCACGAGGCAGCTAAGAGACACAATGACACAGCCTGGGCCCCTGAACTCAAACCCTTACGAAGTCCACGTGTGTTGGAGGCCTGGGTCAGCCCAAGCTCTACCATGAACAAAATCCGATCTTTTGCAAGTACTCTGAGCCTGAATGTCACGACGTTTTTCATGCTTCGCATGCGCCGAGGGAGGAAACTACGCGAGTGGTCAAAAGCTACAAAACTGCTCTATCAAAATAAGGGTACAGGGCATAGGGGAAAATGTTGATCAAGACCGGACCACAGCCAGAGCGCACCAATGAAAAGTGTGCCGCAGTGCTGAGGTTTAGGAACCCTTTAGGAAAGCCCGTTCTTTCACAGGGTCATGGCGCGGGTGGGTGTGCTTGAACGGTTGGTTTTGCTGGATGCTTGTCTGGGAGCCTGAACTCCAAATTGGAGCACCGATGACGATTTCGGAGGGGAGGGATGACGCCTGACCCATGACTGCACACCCCGGTCGCTACCATCCATCCATCCATCCGTCCGTCCATACATCCATCCTACATTCTCAACAATTTTTTGCCTGAAAACAGGGGTCACTCAACAAAATCATTGAATATAGCCCTCAAACTCCAACCGTGTACACCTTCAAACTCGAAGTGATTGCCACCAGCCACGCAGCCGCCTGCGAAACCCGCTGCCCGAAAAGCGGGCGGCGCAGCAGACAGGCTTTAAGGGCTTAAGGCGGTGGGTGGGAGCCGATAGAGATAGTATATATGTAAATGTATATGTATATGTGCATGTACACAACAATCGGTTGTCGGTCAGTACGACTCAGTACTAGGACTCAGTACTAGCAGCATCTTTTGTGATTGCTTGGGGTCAATGGTGGATGCCGTAGCCGTAGCCGTTGGCGATGGAGCGTTCGTCTTTGTTCTCGATCTCCATCAGTTGCCCTGCGCTGAATCTGAAAGGCGCATCAGCAAGAGCCGAGTCCGAGGGAGTGATGTACATGTATGTACACTGTACGCGCACTTATGTACGTATGTATTTCTGCATTATATTATGTGATGTAAATATGTCACGAATATAAGCATTCGTTCGCTTGCTTGTTTTATTCATGCAGCTGTGTGTGTGAATATGTATGTGAATATGACAGTATCAATATGATGATGATTACGAAGCTGAGTATGCATCTTAATATGAATACGCGCATGGTATTAGTTTGAGTATGAATGTGAATATGAATACGAGTATGAACATGGGGTGTTTGTATGAGTATGAGTAGGAATATGGATGTGAGTGTGACTATGAGCATGAGCATGAGTATGAGTATGAGTACGAGTTCGAATGTGAATGTGATGTTGAGTATGCATACGAAGATGGGTTCGGGTGTGAGTACGTATGAGCATGAGCATGAGCATGAGTATGAGTCTGAGTATGTATACATACGCACACGTATACACATCTATACATACATATTTACATATGTTACATAGTGTGTATAATTATATTTATAGTTATATTGATATTTATATTTATATTTATGTTTATCTTTATATTTATATTTATATGTATATATATATATATCTATATATATTTATATTTATATTTATATTTATATTTATATTTATATTTATATTTATATTTATATTTATATTTATATTTATATACAATGTATATTTATATATATATCTGCACACATTTTTTGTACACATATATATATATATGTATATATATGTATATATACATATCTTTACATTCATATATATATATACACACACATGTACATATATACATATACACACATACATTTATATACACACATATATATATATTTATACATACATTCCGTTTTGTAAACATATATGCATATGACGGGCATAAATATCAGTGTGTATTGTATGGGAAATAACACTTTGGCTTCCGACCTCCCCATCCGAACACCACCCGACACCTCACGATAGCCAGCAGTGCACCAGTTGATAGGTACATCAAGCTGCGCGTGCGATTGTTGGCTCTGTCACTTCCCGACTCCACGAGGTACCTGGGTTCTTCAACTTGCAGGGCAGGCGGGGCTCGGTAGCTCGGGTGCTCCTTAGGCTATTTCTGAGCCCACGAGGGTTCTATCGTCGGGTGGGGGTGATAGGTGTGGGTGCAGAGGATGTTTGGGAAAGATGCGTGCCCACTTTGTGCATCCCTGATGCCGAAGCCGCAGGCTGCAGACCTCGTCAAGCAATGCCTTTCGCAGTTTCTGGACGTCCTGCGCGGCAGTGGCATGGTGACAGTCGAGAAGCAGGCACGTCTCGGCAAGTTCTTAAAAAAGCGGGCTTCCCTTCGCAACTGTGCTCATGTCTGTGATGTCTCCATGAAGTGACCGCAGCATGCTACTTCTTCTTCCTACAAAAGCCTCGCAGGCTTGTGGATCCCTCACTTTCAGCTCTGTCGAAATGCTATGATACCAGGCGATCGTTACGCAAGTGCCAAAACAAGCACCTACTATGCAGGCACCACTGTTTTACATCCGATTCCATCCCCGCCAGCTTTGCTACCATCCATGACATACACACAGCAAGACGCCAGGGAGACCTCTCTGTTGGGCAGGTGCTGAACATTGCACCTTGGCATGCCATGGGAGTTCGAGGCTCTTCAGGGTTGTGGGCGTTCATGTTGAGTGGGCCAAATCCGGGAAGACGGAACGCGAATCGGTCTGAAAATAGTACGTGGAGAGGCACCTCTGATCCGTCCCCCACCACGATCCTGGCGACAGTTTCTGCAGCCGAGATTTCATAGTTGGGTCGCAGGGTTTGACTGTGACTGGGGTCCTCCAGGTCTCAGGCGTCTATGAGATCTACGAAGATTCTGATCAATGCAATCTCTCTCTGCAAATACGAAGCATCGAAGTGTCTCTTCATTGGCGGGTCTTTCTGGCGAGTGGTCAGGAAGGCCATAGTGCCCCTGCCAGGACAAACTCCTTTACAAGCGGCTTCAGGAATGGGAGGCACATGCAAAATGGCTTACAGGGCTTCGGTGTTCTCGGGTTTTGTCTTTCAATGGTCCACCGGGTGTCGGTTTAGGGTGTAGGGTTGGTTTGACATTGCTGCTTCTTCTTGAAAACTCGTGGGCCGCGTTCGGCCCTGCGGCCCGACTGGACAAAGAGAATCCTTGAGTGAAACAGATTACTTGTGGTTGTCGCATTATTATCCTTGCTATTCTAAGTTAGTGTCATCGTCCTTACCAATATTATTGCTGGCTACCATTATCGTTGCTGATATCATAGGTGTTGGTGGGGCTTTGAGGCCCTGCAAGTCTGAAAAGTCGGCATGGTCTCGGCGGTGACTGCAGGAGAAGCTGAAGGCTTGTGACAAGATCAAGCACGAGAAGGACGCTGGAAATGCTGCATGTTTCGCGACGCCACAGCCATAAATTTGGGTCTCTGAGCGCTCAGCAGTTGTCGTTTGGCTGCAATACAGATTAGAGGCTCCAATCGTCGATGTTCTCAAGTTCTCACGAGCCTTGCAACCACTAGGCCCAACACAACGGGCATGCCGACAAACCTCCCCTGCCTGTTTTTAAGAAGGGAGTTTTGGGCTTCGGGCCGGGCTCAGCATCTTGAGCGATATCTAGCATGAATTCTTGTGAATGGTTTGGGACGAAGCTTTGCTCCGGATGTTTATCGTAGCCTGAAAGGAGACTTGGCAGCGGCGCGTGAACGACATGCGCTGGGGACTCGGCACAGTAAGCCCTGTGGCATGGGGTTGTCCTGGCAGTCCTCACATAATCACAGCACAAGATTCCGCGAGTAGACTTTATTCTGATTCGTCAGGCCCGCTGGCCGCTTTCTAGTCGTGTAAGCCTTGCACATAAGCACGTGGAAGCAAGCGATACCGCGTCAATGTTTGAGACCATTGCCACCCTGAGGCATCGAGTACATCCGCGAGGCAGCTGGGATCTTCCAAAAGCCCCGAACGCCCAAACGATGGGGCTTATGAGCTGTTGGGATGTATGACAAGTTGGGGTCCGTTCCGGGATCAGGGTAGGAGGTATCTCGTTCCACAGTGGCTTTGATCAAGAATTTCGGTCTCCTGAGGTTTAGGGCAAGAAAAGGCAGAAGTTGCAGGGAACGCATCATTGAAATCTGAGCATTCGTCTCGAGGAGGCAGCGATTTTACGGACATTTTGAGCCTTCCTCGAAGTTCCAGCGTTTCGAAGAACCAGTTCACCTCGAGAGAAAACCGTGAACGATCAACAACTTAGCTTTGTAGCGATTTTCAGGGCTCTACAGGGCAACTGTGCTGGTAGGTTCTGAGAAGAGGTGTTACCAGGGAGAATAAAAGGAGCACGTTCACAAGGCTTCCACTTGGGGAGCTTTGTCGTCAACTGACTGTAGTATGGGCATACAGGAGAGAGCATCTTACATGAAAATCCTTGACAGCAGCCCCGACAGAGGCCTCAGTCTTTTTGCACATTGGTGCTCTGCCCCTTGATATTAGCGAGCATGATGCCGTACGGCGGTGCACCAAGCCAGCGCTGATTCAAGTAGATTTCAATCGACCACGTCGAAGCCGAGATGTTACGCGGTTGTACATTCATGTCTAAGCGAGCGCTGTTTCCAACCACCAGCTTCAAGGCGATGCTACCGATCCCCGAGCTTTGATGTCTTTCTCCGAGATATGAGCCCTGACACAAAACTGTTACGTTCCCTCCTTCCGTAGATTCGCCGTAGATCCCTTGCGGCTCAGATCGAGATGTTCCGCCTCAAGCTCCGACGCCTGCAACAGAACGAGTCGGTGTCGGATTTACGCGACAGCGCCGAGGCTGCAAGCTTGTCTTGTGCAGCGCGTTTGCAGAGCTGGCGGTGTTCCAATATGTTCGCTCCGCCTTGGCGTCAATCTCCTGCAGTCCTTGAAAAAAAGCCCTGTGTAAACCCTAGACCCTAAAACCTCCCTATCCCTTAAACCCTAAACCCTACTTGGGAACTCCGAGGCTCAATGAAGAAGTCGAGGAACGCCGCATCTCAGACGGACGCCCGGGGTGGGACTTAGGGGAGTGTTTAAGTAGGTTAGCAGGTGGTAGCAAGTAAATTAGGCTAACCCGTTTGAAGAGTGAATTGATGGAACGAATTGTAAAGGGAAACACGTTCTTCGTTCCTATTTCTTTGTTTTCAATCTCTAGAAGGCAGCAAAAATGTAATGAAATGGAATGATGCCTCCATTATAAAATAGGTCGTTTGGATTAAATTAAAATAAACACGAAGTGAGCCTAATTTTAATATAATTCCGTTCTTCTTCGTTGTCTTTATTAAATTCAAGGGCGTCCAAATGCTTGGGTTCATTTCCAACGATGGAAAGGCCAACATAGGAACCACCTTTTATTTCAATTATTTGGATTCCAAGGAAGAGCACAGTGGATTATAGAGTGAGTGACTCACGAACCCTTTGTTAAATCTCAATATTTGGGTCTCTTGGAAAGGAAAATGTACTGGAACAAAATGGAACTGGAAATGAACGGAACGTACCTGGCATGCGAATCATTAGAATGTAGGTCTAATTATTAATGGTGGATTAGTTCTAGGATTCTACCATTAAGATCTAAGTCAAAAATTATACCTATAATCCTATTATATCCTGGCTCCTAATCTTGCTTTATTCCTGTAGCATTAGAATTAGGTGGAAGGTAGAATGCATGTGAAATAAGAAGTGGAGCGTGTGCCTGTTTAATTTAAATAAAACACGCATGCGTTCATTCTTCACTCCTTTGTTTTTATTAAATTAAAGGACACACGGTTATAATTAATAAAAGCAGTGGAACGTGCCTCGCTTTTTCATTCGTTCGGCCCTCTTCCAACAATCCTCAATCCCAAGTCTTACAGCTAGATCTAGGTTACATTCCTTTGCTTTTATTACATTAAAAATTATTACCGTTGGGAGATTAAAGGAAAATGAATGAACAATTAGTATGAAAATAGGCTTCTGATGTGAGCGAAAGAATGCTGCATTTATAATTTAATTCATCACAGTTTAATCTGAACTGGGGTATTTGTGACCCCGAAATCTAGTTCGACCGAGTCACTAGGTCCCATGACTCCAAATGCTGACCGAAAACAATATGCGAGGGGGTTAATAATAGGAGGAGCGGGTTACACAAGTATAACCCCACGTTGAACCCTGTATATGTACATATATAAAAAGAAATATATTTTTTTTGTATAGAGCCCGCCAAGTAAGTCCCTTGAGGCTCAAATCAGAGTATTAGAAGCAGCAGAAGCGAGTTTTGACACGATCCATTGAGTATACTCCAGAAGGGGTGGAACTCCTATCCACCTTTCTCAACCCCCATAAAGCTCCACAGACTCAGACCCCCTTTTAAACAGATGACTATTGCAATTCTGATTCTCATTGGTATTATTACCACTGTGTCGATTATCGTTATTGTTCTTGCGCATATATATATATACACACGTATTGTTATTGTTATTGTAAGTACGGTTGCACTATTGCTACTACTATTGGCGTCTCAAGTTTCTTGTTGTTAACCTTTTTGCTGTTATTCGTGCTGTTACTAGTGTTATGAGTATGGGAAAAACTATTACTATTGGTTCATTGTTTTAATGTTGATTGTAAAAGTGTCGTTGTTACTTTTCTCAATAGTTGAGTATGACTGCCATTCATATTATTCTTGTTATTGTGATTCCAGTCATGATGTGTATGGCTTCGCTAATATTATTGTTCTGACAATTTTCGTTGTTGTTGCGCTGTTATTATGGTTATTGTGATGATGGTTGTTAGTTTCTATTTTTTGGTTGTTATTTTCAATTTCTGCTCTTCTTGAGGCTATCATTTTGACCATTGTTACTCGTAAGGCCCATTCTGTTTTGTTCGTCTTTTGTGTCACTATTGTTGTTGTTCTTCTTTCTAGGAGTATGAGCATGAGCCTAAGTACGAGTGCGGGTGTGAGTCTTGGTATTAGCATTGGTACCAATATTAGTATTAGTATTTGTGCTAGTATTCGTAGGAAGTAGTGCCAGAATCGGTATTAGTGCCTTTATTCGTTTAAGTATGAGTATGATTATGAGCAGAAGTGGTAGTACTCGTGTTAGTAGAATCAGTATTAGCAGCAGTATTCAGATCTTCGCGTTTATTATGGGAATTGGTATTGGGTATATAGACCTCAGAGCCAGGAGCTCGAGGCGGGTTTGGGAGAGCTCTGCTCGGTGTGGGACAAGGTCTTTGAGATCCAAGCACGCGCGGGGCCTCGGCTTCCTGGTGCGGAGTCTGGGATAAGGCGAGGGCTTTAGGGTTTAACGGTTAAGGTTCAGTTTGGCTTACTATGGGGCCTATAGGGTTAGTGTAGGTTACAAGGGGGTATTGGGGTTGATCCGGATCTTGCCTAATATGCGGACTCCTAATTTGTCGAATAACCGCCGATCGCGTCTTCAGTACGACATGACTTGTGCCGAACCCGAAACACGAATCTTGACCCTTGGCTGCTGAAGTCACCCGAGGCATGGATGCCATCAACCAGTGCAACGCAGACTTTGACAAGGCCTTGTGATTTGGGGTGTAGGGTAAGCGCCTAAGGTTGTGGTTTGCAGGGCTTGGGGCTTGGCTTGGTGCTTATGGGATGTAAGGTTTCTGTAATCTCCGGCAAGAAAACATCGAAGCCTGGCTCAAAGGTGGACGCACACCTTAAAGTCCTGCAGGAGCAGGTGGGACGGGCTGGCATTCTCTTCGGGAAATTTCCTGAGAGGTATTTTCGGTTGTTGCAACTTCAGCTCTAGGGAGGGGGTGTTAAGCTGCTGCAGTCACTGTAACCTGGCCGGCCCAAATTACATCTGAGCAAAGAGCACACGGAGCCAAACCAGAAAGCCAACAACCTTGCCCTGCGCTTGATTCTGCAGAAGAACCTGTTGCCCCGCACAGCTCCCTTGCCGTTGCAGGTCCTCGCCCAGGAAGCCCACATCGTGGCTCTAGAGAAGGCATGAGCTGTGGCTCATAGAGATTCAAGGGCTCTAGGGAGGTTTCTTTGTTGACGTTTCGCGGTTTAGGGTTTCCCTAGTAAGGGTTCTGTCAAGCAGTGACTCGCACTCGCACAATCGAAGTGGAGCTATGACAGCAATTCTGAATTGTTTTCTTGACTCCCGTGTGGGGTATGTGCGAAGGTCGAACAGCTGAAACACAAAACAGCGTGAGGATTCTCTTTGAGGCAGTGCAGCCGTCCAACTGTTGTGAGCTGCTCGACCTTGTCTCTAGCAGATGGTCCAGCAATTGCACATGGAGCAGTGCGACAGTAGCGGAAGCGAGTCTTGGGGTCTGCATTCACGGCTCCCTGCCGTGAAGCAGGGAGTTGACAAGG